AGTGTGTAGAGGGAAGGAATCTAACTCAAATGTAGAGAGCACAAGAACTAGATTTGGTATGGAACAAGGAACCTGGGACGGGTTTGACACCTGGGTGGCCAATATTAGCTGAGCAAGAGGCTGGGAACTCATGAGAAAATCAAGGTGGGGGATGAGCCAGGAAGAGTAACTGGAAAAATACTGGACAAGGGGAGCATTTACATGTTTATTAATGTGCAGTGGTTACTGTGGATTTAATTTAGTACTTGTATAATCAAGTACTAAATAAGTGAACAGTAATCAAAGTTATTGTGCAGTAGTGCAGGTGATCCCCTTTTAAGTGACGCTACTGCGCGGTAGCCTAATAATACTGCGTGGTAGCATATTAGCACCGTTTGTGCTGCAACGTGCTACTGCGCAGTATTATTAGGCTACTGTGCTGTTAGCATCTCATGTAGATGCGCCCAAGGAGTCTGAGACAAGTAGCCTAAGGAGAGAATAGGACTCAGGGGCCAGGTACAGACCAGGTACAGACATTACGCTCTTTTCAGTATAATTGGAAACCGGTCTATATCTGTAACAGAACAGAAGTTAGGCACATAGAGACTGGTCTAAAAATGACAGAACCTGATGTAAGATTTGCTCCCCCCACCAAAGGGCAAATGCGTGTTGTGTTTCACTATCGATCTAAACTATGCCACCTGCAGAACTTAGATTGATTCCACTTCGGACTTTTTGTACCTCACCTGGGAGAGTGGGCAGAAGGAGACTGGAACAGGGAGCCCGGGACTGGATAGACTGGGTTCCTGGGGCCAGGAGTTGGTGGTAGTGGAACATGGACCAGGAGGCAGGGGTAGGGACAGAGCCTGAATTGTGACAGGGGCAGAAAGAAGTAGTCGCTCTCTTCAAAAACCTGGAGTGGAACTTAAAAGGTACTGCTAGATCACCCGATTACAATGCCAAGTTACCTCCCAAACCAGACAAGAGTACTGTCACCTTACAATAGGAGTTTCAACAGAGTTTTCTGGTGTATGTGCAGCACAGCAGCAAAGTGGCTACAATACATCCAGTTCAGGAGATAGTACACATGGAGTTAGTGTGGCGCATTGCATTGTGGGGCTACTTGGCACCATAATGAAATGGTATGGACAAATCCAAAGTCAGTTTCCTCAGCTGTCTACAAATAATCTGTGAAACCCACTGGCAAAGGCTCACCCTTCTCTAGTTCTGGTTTACATGGAGGGTGACAAATGCTTCATGCTCCCAGTAGTTTAGAAGCGTTTGGGTTGTTGGTCTCTCAATGACCCAGCCCTTCTGAAGAACCATGTGGATGATCCCAGTGATAGCATTAGTGGGGTTGTCATTATTTAAACCTAAAAATTACACACATGAGACTATTAAAAATAATAATAACAAACTTGCAAAACAAATGCTCAAAGAATTTGAAAAGGCCAGATTTGAGGTGGATGATGCCACCTTAATTCAGCCCCATTGCACACATGTATGACGATACAGTACTCAGCTCCATGATCACATACTTTTCTTTTTACACACACACACAAAAACAAACCCCTATAGCAGTGGCACAACCACAGCTTTTATGAAATGCTCTTATCCATTGGTCGTTCCAAAGTTGGTCAGGATCTGTCTTGTTTTATAGAGGGAGAGACTGACACACAGAGTTGGAGCATCTTAATCAAGGTCAGACACCCAGAGGGAATAGGCCTCAGCTCTTCTGAGGTTTCTGCGTATCACTCCACTGTATCTCCTCCAGACCGGGTATGTCCGTGCTGCTGCTGCTGTGCCACCTTCCAAG